TGAAATGAGGGAGTGGATGAAGAGGACACAGGAGAGATTGCGGGCGGCAATGGCGGCTATGCCGGATGCCCGCGATGGGTGTGGCCCCACAGGTGGGGGTATCCTCGATGAGGAAAGGCGGGATCTGCCGCTTTCTCTTGGTACCCTAAAACGGGTGAAGAGTAGGAGGGCGGCGTAAAGAACGGGGAAAGACTGTGGGCCTTTCCTTGAAGACTCGGAGGAGGAGGGTTGGAGTAAAGTTTCATCCCTGTCCCCACCTCCGGTTAAAGGGGGGCTCCCTCCTTTGGTGGCGCTGGAGCTCTTACGCCTCTGAGCGGGGGCCTTGGTGCTGCCGGGGGAGGGGAGACCAAGATAAGAAGAAGGTCGCTGGCTGGGTTAATGCCAGTGCCCGGGCTGACCAGCTGGCTGCGCTTCAGCAGCTGGCCGAGGGTGGGTGGCCTGGGGCAAGGAGGGTAGTGGTGCGTATGTAGCACCCCCACGCAACCTCCAAAGACCGACCCTCACTGCTCCTCAAATCTCGGGTATACCGGGACCGAGGAGCGGCAAGAGGGAGGGAGGATCCCCTGCGGGCGGGTCATCGAGTGACACCCACTTTTCCGGCCACAGGTGGGATCACCGGGCTTCTGCCCGGAGTAGAGGAGCGATTGAGGGTGGGGGGAGAACATAGTTCTCCCCATCTTTTATGACGCACCGGGAAACCGGCATCCGGGGGGGGGGGGATGGCTGGAAGTAATACGAATGCGGTTCCCGGCTAACGACAGAGGGCTGCAAAGTAACGAGGATGGAGTTTAGTGGGTAGGCGCCTGGGGACATATATGGTGTCGCAAACCACATCCCCAGGCGAATCCCACACTACCCTCTGGCAGTGGGTTTCTTATTCTTAGAAATCCACATTGCACGCCAAAGGGTGTCTTTAGAAGATTCTTCACCTCCGGAAGGGAGGGGGCTATCGCCCCCGCACCAAAAAGAAAAAAAAAAGATCGTTAAGTGTGTTTATCAACAAACTCGAAAATACGAAATGACATACATTTCGTTAGTATTATTTGAGCAGGGATTCCAACTACTTGTCATAATAAGGAAAATGGGATTCACAAACACTGAGAAAGCAGATATAATTATAATTTACGGTGAATGTCATAAAAATGCAGCGCAGGCAAGCATTTTGTATGTAAGAAAATATTCTGAACAGAAACATCCTTCGTGTCGTATATTCGAAAATCTTTTTAAACATCTTCAGGGAACAAAAAATTTTCAATCGCATAAACGTGTCCATACAAAGCTAGTAACAAGTGAAACGGACGAAATTGCAATCTTAGCGTCCATAGCTGTAAATCCGCATATTAGTTCGCGTAACATCTCACGAGTCACTGGTATCAGCCAATTAATATAGCAAAGATCACAAAGATCACAATCGTACGGAGTTCTCTGAATGGGCATTACAACAAAATAATTATTTTTGGGAGAACTGTTTGTTTATCGATAAAGCTACATTTACAAATCATGGACAAGTGAATTTACGACATGCATTTCTAGGCTGCACATAATTTGCATTGACTTTGTCAAGCGTGAAGCATTAATGTATAATGTGACATTATCGGTGATCATTTTATTGGACCCTTTTTCATAGAGGGATGATTAAATGGACAAAAATGTGCTGATTTTTTGTTGATTAATTTGCCTATTCTATTAAAAAATGTACCATTAGCATCCCGATGAATTATATTCTATCAGCATGACGGTTGTCCTGTACATAATGCAAGAATAAGCAGAGCGGTACTAACATTTTCGAGGGTCGCTGGATTGGGCGAAATGGCCCTGTAAACTGACCCACCCGCTCACCAGATTTAACTCCACTGGATTTTTTTTGTGTGGAAAATTAAAAAAAAAAGTCTACAGACAAATACTCATATCCCAAGAGGATATGCGGCAACGTATCATTGCCGTATGTAACCGCATAACTTCTGAGACACTACAAGCAGTACGCCATTTATTACAACATCGATTTGTAAAATGTATCACTAAAAATGATGAACACTTTGAGCACTTGTTATGGCAATAATAAATTTATATCGAGAACTAACGATAGAAGATAAATTTGTTCAGTTTGTTAATTATATCTCAACGTAGGCTATCATTCCATAAAGTGTTTGAAACATTAAAACTTTGTTCATTAGTATCTTAATAAATTTGAGTAAATGTTGAATGTAGGCCACATGTACTCTAATACTTTACCCAGAATTCGATTCTTTTTCGAACGTGGAATAAAAAGTTGAACATTCCATTTAAAAAATCAAAGATGACCTTGATATCTTTATAAAAAAAGCAAGGTAGCAAAAAAGCGATTAATACATCATATGTCCCTTTTGATACGATGCAACTTTTGTATGAAAACATTTTATATACAATAATTTTATATACATTTTATATACAATTTTATATACAATTGATTTTAGAGCTATTTAAGATGGTAAAATTAGAAGATTCTCTGTATAATATAAAACTTTTGAGACGAGAGAAAATATTGTCCGATTTTACTCTAATTTTACATATAGTTGCCTCTCATGTGCGATAAACTACGTGCAAAATTTGAGTAAAATCGAACATCTTCTTTCTCCTCAGTAATATATTGTTGCGCCCGTACTATTTCGCCGCTGATGCTGTGTGTGTTACAGCTGACGGACCGATCGATAATATCGATCGGTCATTGGAGAGTTGAAGCCATATGGCATTTATTAATAATCTTTCTTATATTCGTTGTCAAGACAACGAATATTGATTAACAGTTTAAAGGGTCTCTATGACAGTTATAAACAAACTGTCATATGTCAGATCTGAGATAGCTGTCTGCTCGGGCGGACGTATACGACAGCTCCGGTCTTTAAATCTTATATTTTCGGTTATTTATTGTATGAGTTACTGTTGAGTTACTGTTCTTGAGTTGAGTTCTTATTAAAGTGTTCTCTGTTTATTCGAAGTGTTGTGTTGTGTTGCTTGATTTCGTGAGTTTCGTTGTCGTGCGTGAAATACCGGTTCGCGGACGCAACAATATGTACTATTTTTCTTTTATTTTACTACTTTACAAATGATGTTTTTTGTGTATATCCCCAAATTATATTTTATTTTCATTAATATTACAGTCTAAATACGAGTACAAAGCAATTTGTATTACAAATGCATCTGTTGCAGCAATATTTAACATTATAAACGTTAAATATCTAGCGCTATAATTTGCAATAT